GTGGGTATGCATGGATGGAAGTACGTATCTGCGTTTGAGTGTACGGGTGAAAGTGCGCGATCTGGTTTAAACACCCGATTGCACAGAGGCAGGGCCACTCGCGCCTGCACATGTATATACACTCCCCCGCATGTCGTTGCATGAAGAAAAGGGCAAGCAAATGGGGTAAGCAAAAGAGGAATAAGACATTTCTGTTCCGCTCCATTTCTTCTCTCGTTTCGCTCGCAAAAGGGAGATGGCTGAACAACGCTAGTTGGACGCTCCTGTGGATTCTTTCCCCCCCCCCCCCCCCCCCCCCCCCCCCCCCATTGACCGGTCCGAAGTGGACATTTCTTCAGTACGCTGTGTACATCCATGTTAATCGCGTGATAGTTGTCTATGCATGTGTGTGCATTTGTATGCGTTGTATGCAAGTGTAAGCTGTGTATGGAAGTGTATGCAACTGTATGCATTTATTTGCGTGTATGTGGTATGCACCTCTACGAACGGAGCAAATGCCCGAGGAGTGCCCGTGGGATGAGCGCGCACCCTGGTTGAGAAATGTAGACATAGATTCCACACCGGCGGCGCCACAGGCATTACTTCTCAACAAAGTGGACAATCGAAACAGCATCCGCCGTCCAACCAGCTAGCATTTTCACCCACAAACAGAAACATTTACACGGAAATATCCACACAGAGGAACACGCCCACACAAACACAGAGAGAAGCGCAAGCGAAAATGAATAGGAACGAAGAAATTCTTTCCAAGGCGACGCCTAACTTTATATACAAATTTTTCACCGAACCCAGCTCACAGGAAAGCATAGGCTGGTTAAACTCGCAGGTAACGTTAATATGTTTCAGTCAAATGAATGCTGGGGCCAATCAGATTTTTTTAAAAGTCATCGATGGAACCATCCCGCCGCAGTACTATGCCATTCTACACGTGGGGGCGGAGGAACGAGGCATCACCACTACCCCCCTCTCCTATGTAAAGAAATTGATAGCCATAGAAAATTTCTCCATCACAAATTACTATGGGAAGCTTTTCATACTAACAAAAAAGCTTAGAGTGGTTATGAGTGTAGACCACCTGGATATTGAGGACCTCTTTAGGAGGTACCAGCTGCAGAGTATTTCCTACCTGCTACTCAACACAAAAGGGGAAAACGGATCTAAGGATGGGGGCTCTGGAGCCGTCAGAAAATACAACGGAGAGGGGAAAGCCAAAATCAGCAACATTATTTCCCCCTATTCAAATGAACACGGAAATGAGGACAAAACGAGGGAATGTAATTATTACCCCCGTGGAGGGAGCGCAGCAGGAACAGAAGCACAATACAGTAATAATGTCATCCCCCCAGCTAGATATTCCAAATTGAGTGATCGCCAGGAAGGGGACACCAGAGCTGACAACTACGACAGGTGTCAACGGGTGTCGGGAGAAAATTTGATCAGGGAGCCGATGGCCAAGAATGGCACTGCTGCATATGGGGAGAGACAGCCCTATGTGGATAAATCCTCTTACGTGGAGAGGCCTCCGTATAGGGAATCGCTCGCCGGAAGGGACGCCCCACAAAACTACCACCCCGGCAGAATGACAGAAGATACGGGAAGGGGGAAGCAATTCCCTAAAAGATTGAGTGACCCCCCCCTCAACACGGCCAAGTTCGCGCATGGGGAGAGTTCCATCGGTCGTGATTATCTCCCGTACGGTGCAAACGAATTGGAAAGGAACCCCCACGAGGCCACATCTCTCTTGCACCAAAAGAACCCCATTTCGCAGAGGGAGGAGAGCCAGCCCTACAACAAACGAAACAACACCACAGTGTATGACCCGAACGGAGCAAACAGTGCAAATAGGGAAAATAGTGCTTATCGAAGGAACCATTACAGTAGCGGTAAGAGCAGGACGCAAAACATTGCAGGAGAGCTGAACAACAGCAGAAGCGGAAACAGTTACGACCCCGGAGTCGGACCCCTCATGGGCTCAAGCGTGTACAGAGAAGAACCTCCTTTGGAGGAAAACATTAGTAGAAGTCACCCCAAGCCGCACACGAGCAATCCGAAAGCCTATATGTACGAGGGGGAAATGGGGGAAGGACCAGCTGGGTCGGGAGCAGCCACCCCCGGGGAGTATAAGGGTCGATATGCCCTCACTGGGAATAACCCAGAGAGGGGGGGCCCCCCCGAACAGAGGAGCTATTACCAAAGTGGAAGAGGGAACAGCAACATGAGCAAGGGAGGAAGTGGAGCGCGTGACGACTATTACTACCCTCCCCGTGATGCAGAAGAGGGTGATAACTCCAGAAACGTGGATGATGAGGCTTATTACGGAAGGGCGGGGGCCCAACACAGGAATGGCATAGGAAGGGGAAACTCTCATGAGGCGGGCACGAAAATGGCTGCCGGGGGAAGAAATGGTCTGAATTACAACGGAGAGATGGCGAAGCTTAGTAGGAGCGAAGAGGCAATACAGGAGAGGTATGTCCCTTCTGAGGGGGTGACCAATGGAGGGGATTACCGTCCCAGGGGGGTGAGCAATTATGGCCCTTCTGGTATAGGAAGCGGGGGCTATGACAATAACGGAAGTGGCTACCGGGGAGAGGCGGAATCCATCAAGAAGGCGAGGAGGGAAAGTATGGGGAGTCTACAAGAGACGAAGGAAACACTAAACGACATGGAGGAGTATGCAGCAGACAGGAGGTGCGAGACCAAAAGCATTCTTAAAGAAAATACCTCCACTAGGAACAACAGGAAGTGTGCCCCATACCAGCAAAGTAACAATCCAGTAATGAAGATAAATGACGGCATTTTAATGCAAATAAATAAGCTGTCCCAATATTCATCCAAGTGGATAATCAAGGCGAGGGTTCAGTCCAAGGACAACGTGAGAAGGTTCTACTCAGGAAACAAAGAGGGGAAGGTATTTAATATCGAACTCTGTGATGAAGATGGAGAAATCAAAGCAAACTTTTTTGGAAAGGCAGTGGACAAATGGTATGATTACCTGCAAGTGGGAAAAATCTATAAAATTAGTAAAGGAAACATCAAGGCAGCCAACAAAAAATTCAACACACTAAAACATGACTGCGAGATTACGCTGGATGAAAATTCCATTATAGAGTTGTTGGAAGAAAATGATAACATCCCCAAATTTATTTACAACTTTGCATCTATAGATACGATAAAAAATATGAACACAGGTTCGCTAGTCGATGTAATAGGAGTGGTATTCACCTTCCAAGAAATGATGCAGGTACTGATCAAGAAGACAGGACAGTACAAAGAGAAGAGGGACTTAATTCTCATCGATGATAGCAACGAGACCATCAATGTAACTCTCTGGGGAGAACATGCCTTGAAAATTGAAGAAGGGTACCTAAGAGATAACAGCATAATCTCCTTTAAGTATTTAAAAGTTGCAGAGTGGCAGGGGAAAAAGCTGGAATCCCACCCTAAGACCAAGATTGACGTAAACCCAGAAATTGATAGAGCACACATGCTACAGAATTGGTGGAGTAGTAACAAAGAGAACCTTTACAGCTCGGTGAATGTAAACACGAATAGCTTCAACATCGAGTTGCAGAAAACCATTGAAGAAATTAAAAAGGATGTTAATTTGGCTAATGAAGATGCTTTATCAGGGAAAGGGATCGTTTTTACCACCTTCGGTTTTATTGATCATATTTATAACTCCATCCCGGTGTACTCCGCTTGTCCCGATTGCAATAAAAAAATGATTATCAACGTCGTGGAGGAGGAAGAAGACGACATTGATTCATCCCAAATGATGGACCAATCCATGTACTGTGCCAAGTGCAACAAAAATAACACCCCCATATATAACTACTACATAAATCTGAAAATTACAGACAGCACGGACTCCTTGAGGGCCTCTGCCTTTGCTGGGTGCGCTCGTACTATCATGAACGGCCTGTCCGCCGACGAGTTTATGGCCCTGAGGCAGGAGTACGTCACGGATGAGAATATCGAGAATTTCGACCTGATTGAGAAGGCAAAGCTGAAGGAGTTTTTTTTCCGCATCAAGGCATACATGACGTCCCACATGGATGAGCTGAAGAAGAACTACACCATCATCGAGATCATCCCGCTGAGCAAGCTGCTCGTGGAAAACTGCAGGTATTTGATCCGGTCCATCCGCAGCTTGACGGAGAAGCAGTGAGGAAGTGGTGGCAAAGTGGCGCCGAAGTAGCCTCGAAGTAGCGTCGAAGTGATGGCGAAGTGCCGTCCACCCGGTGGCTTACCCGACGTGGAAGCCAAAGTGCGACCCGTCGAGGAAAAGCCCCTTCCAACTGCACATGCCGGAACTGCGCCTCACGTGTCGCCTTCCCCCATATAGCTATACTGTACAGGTAGAGTTCCTCCATGGGCAGGCACTCTGTCCACGTGTATGAACACACATCCTTCCCTTTTTTTTCCGGCCCTTTCTTTGTGTTAAACTTTCGCCAACGCATCCAATTCGCTTTTTTTTTTTCCCCACCCACCCCCGGCATGGGCATGTACATTTACACACAATGTTCACCCTATGGGTATGATTTCGTTTGGGTAAAGAGGAGAAAAGAAATAAAAAAAATAAAATAGAATAAAATAAAATAATAATAATAAAATGTAAAACAGAGGGAACCTTTTCTTTAACACTTTTTTGTTTTATCCTCACTACTTTGCTCTTCTTCGCTATCTCTCTAATTTGAATTTTTTTTTTTTTTTTTCCTTTTTTTTAACTCAAACTGATGATACACTCCACTTTGATTACGTCTTTGATGTGCCACTCCGCAGTGGGACAGGCATACCAGACAGGCATACCAGACAGGCATACCAGACAGGCATACCAGACAGGCGGAATGGTTGCCATATGGAAAAAGCAAACTAACGGTGCTGTTTGAGGAGTGGCTTAATGCTGTTAGGAAGTGGAAGGGGTGGGCTTCCCTGCACGGGGGAGGACAAGGTAGAACAGCTTCTACGTGCTAATTGCTACGTCCAGCTTTTCGAAGGAGGGAAGGAATGCCTATATAATTGAGTAGCGTCGGCCCAAGCGGGGCACACCCTCGTCGATTGGCATCATTTTTAAGGGAGCGCGATTTTGTTGGCCAACCAGAAGGTAAAAACTTCAACCGATTATCCATTTGCTCACATCAGTGTACGTTAAGGCATGCATTGCTAGCAGGTGTGTCTCAATAGGGGGGGGAGCACTACCTGTTGCGGATCCTCCAAAGAACGGTACGAAGGAGTCCGCTGCAAGTTCCATGGGGGGAACAACAATACATGCATTGTGCGTAGCCAACCCCGTGTTCTGAATTCACTCCAGGAGAACAACGCGCGTGGGTTAAGTAACGACATATTGAGTTTTTCAAGTAGCCAAAATTACACACGAGGAAGTGTAACGAGTGAGAGCAAAAAAAAAGAAATTTGTTGACCTGCGAGGGAAGCATATCCTGCATGCAAAACGAGTGGTTTGAAGAGGAAGGCGAGCAAAAAGAAGGGGGGGAAATCGGAGATAATACGCAAGAAGGGGGGCGACACAGCGACGACAGAGTGGAGAAACTCCCCAATCCGTGCAAATACCAACGCGCAAGGCTGTCAGCGCGACGCAGGACCACACCCAACAGACATTCATATTTTCACGGAAAAGAAGAATGAGCCGAATAGGCCCGGAATTGTGGCTCCACTTGACCACCCCAAACTAGAGCCCCCCCCCAGCACCTTTTCCCCCCACCTACCAGTGTCCCCAAGATGCTCGATTACGTGAAGAAGTATATCTACTTCGAACTGCTGTTAATTTTGCGGGCGGTGAACTACTACATTCCGTTAGACAGGCGGTTGAATATCGCAGTGATATTTTACCTGACCCTTTTGGGGCTCATTTATTTGGCCTTTAAGTTTAGGTACCGTGGGGGTAACGGGTCGGGCGACGTCAGTTGGGCCTTCGCCGGGAAACACGTATGTATAGTGGGTAAGTTCGCGCGGACGATGGGGTGTGGATGGGCGGCATGATTGGGTTATACGTGTGTGGATAGGCGGCGTCAGTGGATTATACCTGTGTGGGTTGTACCTGTGTAAGCGGTGAATGCGCCAGTTGTATGTGTAACGGGTGCATGCTGAGTATGACCGCCTCAGGTGGCCCGCGTTCACCCCCCTCCAATGTCTTCTCCCCTCCAGGTGGGTCCGAAGGCCTGGGCCTCTCGCTGGCCAAGCGAATCATTCGGGAAAAGCCACATACCCTAACCATCATGTCGAGGAACCCCACGAAGCTGCGCACAGCAAAGGAAGTTTTAATGCAAGAAGTTAGCATACAAGAGAAGTCTTACAAGGATCTCCTCCAAATAAACATAGTCAAATGCGACATCGGCATGAAGGAATCCATCAATGAGGCCTTCCAAAATGTCCAAACCAATAGCGGTATAGATAAAGTGAAGGACCAAGGGGGAGACAAATCGATGGGGAGTAGCCAAAGGAGGAATAACCCCCCAAACTCTGAGCAGACAAAAGATCAAACGCTAAACGATGTGGATGTCCTCATCTGCAACGCTGCCTATGTGTGTACAGAAGAAAATAGTAAGCTTCAAATGTACGATTTGCTATACACAGTAAACACAAATATTCATGGCAACATTGATATCATCTCGAGAGTGATTACCAACATGAAAAAGAAAAGAGAAGGATTGATTTTGTTTGTTAATTCGGAAGGAGCGCTTTATCCTGTTTATGGTTATTCCTATTATTTAATGAGCAAGACTTGTATGTGGACATACACCTACATTTTGGACCAGGAGTTAAAATACTACAATATTCATTTTGCAAATGCCTTTCTTCCATCCATTGAAACGCCTGGCTATGCACAGGAGAATTTAAAAAAACCCTTTGTCACAAAACGGATTGAAGACTTAACCACCACGGTGGATTCAGATTATGCGGCTGATAAAGTAGTTCGCAAAATTAAGGAGGGGAGGAAATTCCTAACGCTGGATCTTAACGGCTTCATGTTGTCTGTTTTGCACAGTGGGTACAGGAATCCGGAGTCCTACTTTGATTACTTAGTTTGCGTCTCCTTCTGTGGCGTCTTCGTCTTTGTGTCTTCCCTCTACAAGCTCTACATGGAGCACATTATCCGGAGGAACGTCTTCCACTCAGTGGAGGCGGTACCCTCTGGGGGGTACCCTACCCGGGTCTTTCCCCCCTCAATTTGACTGCCCAATTCGGGTCACTTTTACGGACATATTCCTTCGTAGATTCGTTAATCTTGCATTATTTTTTTTTTTTTCACCACAGTATATATGTTATCATGTGACTCATTTATTTTCACCTGGGCAAGCACTCGCATGGGTCCTTTTTTCCATACGTATCGCCGTGCTACTCCATGTCGGCATTTCTCACGCCGCTTTCTCCACCGAAGACGTCGCATTGGGAGGGTCCCTTCCTCTTTAAAAGGAAGACTGTTTCGCCGTTTGTTACTTCGCGTGGGTGTTTTTAAAAAGCAGTAGGAATGGGCACGGGCGCAGGTATACGCAGGTATGCGCAGACATACACATATACATACGTATACACATATAAAGGCATGTTCATGTGGACATGTACGTGTGCGCGCCACGAACGAGCGCAACGGTGGCACATTTGAGGGGGGTGGAGGGGTTAAAAACAAAAATGGGAGAGGGCGGCTTCCCAAAGAAAGCAAAGGTGAAGCCTAACTTTTGGGCCTCAACTTGTCTGATATCCATTTCTTGGCACAGGAAAAGGTGGAGGAGGAATTTCTCCCTCTGGCTTCCGTCCCGCCCGGCTGGTACGAATCCGCCGACTGGTACGTATCGGCCGAGTGGTTACTACCATTGATTGTGTTATCATGGTGGCCACCAGAAGAGTTGATCTTTTCCGCTGTGTCGTCCATCTTATAGGACGAGTTCCCTGCCTTGTTCGTGTTCATATTGGTACTGGTCGTGGTGGACTGGTCGAAGCTGCTCGTATGCCTTGCAGAGCCGTCCCCACTGGAGTGCGCCGTATTCATATTGTTGTGTAGTCGTGTGTCTTTGTTCACCTCTCCGTGTGCTTCTCCACGGTGGGCCTGCTCACCTTGCCTTGTCGATTTCGGAGGGGGCGGCGGAATAGGAACGTTCGAATCGTTGCAATCGTTGGAGTGATTTGAGTCGTTCTTGCCCTCCCAGTTGTTGACGTTGTTCTTCTTTTTCTGCGAGATTGGTGGCGGTTCCGGGATGTGATTCTCCGCCCCCTTCGCGGCTCCTGCTTCCCGGGAGATGCGCACACTGCCACTGCTGATATTGCTCCCAGTGCTGCTACTGTTTCCACAGCTGCCGCTACCACCGCCGCTGTTACCCAGGTTGGCCTTCTCCGCGGCGTCGTCCCTGCCCTGGTTTAGCTCAATTCGATTGAACTCCTCAATCAGCTCGACCTGCCTGGGGGTCAACCTGTCTGGGATCTTCAAACTAAATTTTACTATCAAGTCGCCATTCGTATGAGAGTCAACCTTGCAAGGACCTTTCCCTTTAAGTATTCTCTCCGAATTGGGATAAGTCTTAGGTCTGATGAGGAGATCCATATCTCCATTAAGCGTGGGAACCTTAATCACTCCGCCGAGTAGGCACTGCTTCATGGTTAAGGGGACCTCCACATGTATATTGTCATCGACCCATTTGAAGATCTTATGAGGTTCGATATTTATCGTGACAAACAGGTGACCATTTTTCCCACCTCTATAACCTGAGTGTCCCTGATTTGGTATCCTCATTTGCATTCCTTTCTTAATCCCCGGAGGGATATCTAGGGTAATATTTTTCGTTTGGAATTTCACTCCGCTTCCAGAGCATTGCTTACAAGGGTTATTAATAATCTGTCCATTGCCTGAGCAATTTCTACAGGGGACTCCAATGATGATTGGCCCCCTCTCAATTCTTTGGATGCCCGACCCGTTACACACTTTACAGATAGTTAAGTTCGTCCCTGGTTTTTTTCCCGAGCCGTTACAGCTATTACAGGACACTTTGACGTTCAGACGGATGTTTTTTTCACACCCTTTTATTGCCTCCATAAATTTGAGAGTAATTTCTGTTTGGATATCTTCTCCCCTGGTGGACGTAGTCTTCGATCCAGCCATGTTGCTAAACATCTCGGCAAAATCAGTAAACATGAATGAGGCATCTCCAAAGCCGGAAAAGGCTCCTTCGAAGTTAGAAGCAGATCCAGAAGAGGCATGTCCATCGTAATTCATATCATCTGTCATTCCTGTTTTGTCGTAAAATTCTTTCTTCTTCGGATCGGATAGAAGTTCGTATGCTGCCGTTATGGAGGCCATTTTCTGCTTTGCATCTGGGGAGGGATTAATATCTGGGTGATACTTCTTGGCCAGCAAGCGAAACTGCTTCTTAATTTCATTCGTCGTGGCGTTTCGGGACAACCCCAGCACGGTGTAGGGGTCTTGGTTGAAGCATCTCCTCGAGATGTTTATGTTCCTCCTGGCGAGGTGCCATGGGATGGCCTCGCACCCCCTGCCAGTGCCACCGCTTCCAATTCCGCCTCCTATGCCACTTCCAATGCCGCTTCCGACGCCGCTGCCACCCCTGAGCACCTGCGTGAATAGGGTCCGCTCGAGCAGCAACTTCTCATTCCACGCCTTCCTGAGGATTCGCAGCGGGCCTACCATCTTGGCATCATGTCAGGGGGGCGAAATGGGGCCAACGGGGTGGCACTGTATTGTCAACGGAGGGAAACCTGCCGGGGATCTTCCAAACGTGTGTACTGCAAATGGCGCGGCGTGGTCACTGCTATATCTTTACATTCGCGCCAGCCTAAGTGATACTCCCACGAAGCGTTGCTCAAAATGGAGGGCTGGCGCTGCTACACAGGGGAAGAGGAAGTTCTCCGAACGGAAGTCCCAATTGTGCTATCTCGTTTCGATTGAATGAACTGCTACAAGGCGGGGCGCACCTATGTGTTGACCTCCGAGCAGAGGAGTGATTTTCTTTTTTCCTCAAAAATGGGGGGGACACATATACTCAGGAAAAAATAGCTACCACTTGTTGAAGCGCGGAAAAGGGAGGTCGCAGGGGTTCCTAGCAGATGTGGATCGGCAATCCATTTTTTCGCGAAAGCTGCGCCAAAAGGGGGCATCAAAGAAGGGAGAAGCAGAAAGGGGGAAGGAAAAAAGGGAAAGCAAAAAGGAGCATGCAAAAAGGACCAAGCAGAAAGGAGGCCATCCCCTTATGACGAAATATAACCATATGGAATTCACCAAATGGGAAAAGAAAAAAAAAAAAAAAAAAAAGTTTTTCTCCCCTTCCGCGTATGTATATCCAGTATACACGCTTCGCACCACCCGCATGGCGCTTAACTGTGCCCTACACCATTTTGTACTTCGCGTTGTACCGTAAGCCCAGTGAAGATGCAGAAAAAAAGGAACCAGCCACGCGGCGCCCGTATGGAAATACATGGGGTCATAACTTTTTACGGGTAAATGCTGCCAGGTGAAGGACACTCTCTTTAACGTATGAAGCGCTGCATCTTTCGGAGCATGGCGAATCGTTTCTACCATTTTTTTTTTGCCTATTTTTCTTACGTTATTCTACAAATGGCGGAACCACTTCTCCGTCCTGCTAGCTAGCCAACCGAACCCACGTTGTTACATCCCCGATTGGTGTCAAAGTAGGGCGTAAGAGGGGGAAGAAACAAAATATGGACTTCCTGAGCGGAACAGGCGAGACGGACCATCATCCAAGGAGTAAAACCATCTTTGACTGAGCCATTCAGTGTTGCGTTTTCTATCTCAGAGCGGTGGGGAAACGTGGTATGTGGGTGCTTGCTTTCTTCGCATGTGTTTAATCCTATACAGCATGTGACCTGGTGCACTCTTTTAAAATTAGCCTAAATGGATACAAAAATGTAACTTTAAGGATGAACTGCCCCTAATCATTCGCCTTTCCACTGTGCTATTTTGTTTTATTTTCTTTTTTTTCTTCCTTTTTGTAAGAATTTCCCTTGCGAGGTGCACGTCCTCTTTGTTTCTCCGTCAAGAAAGAGCTTTATTACCTCCTTGGGGTAAAAAAGGGTCCCAACTTTGTTCCGTCCCTCCATTCGTATCAGCGACTCATCTGTGGAGAGACGCAATTGGGCATTTTCTTCCCAATTTGAGCATACCCGTGTGGGCGCGTTGAAACGGGGAACTTGAAGCGGGGCTTCCAGACGCGCCCCTCATGGGAGACAGCCGAATGGAGGTCCTGCCAGCTGGGTTTTCGGATTTTCGAGACCGGGCCTACTGGAATAGCTTCTTTCAATTTTTCGACAAGAAAAATTTCGAGTGGTATGGCAATTACGGCGATGTGCGGCACATCGTTTATCGGTGCATACGGGGGCGGCTGCGCTATTTCGCTGGGGGAAGCGGTGGTGAAGAGAGCGGCAAGCGGAACGGTCAACCGGATGGCGAAGGGGATGGCCAACTGAACGGTCAACCGGATATCCAACCGGATAGCCATCTCAACGGTCAACCAGATGGCCAATCGAACGATCAACCGCATAACCAACGAATTAACAAAAACTGCCTGCTCATAAACCTGGGGTGCGGGAACTCCCATCTGAGCTACGAACTCTTCCAAGACGGGTTCCGCAACATTGTAAATCTAGACTACTCAGATGTAGTGATCCAAAAAATGAAGCAAAAGTTCGGAGACAAAATGGATTTCATAAATATAGACATGAGCAATGCTGAGAAGTTTGATCATGTCCTATACAAATTGGAAGAAGAGTCAAAAAAGAAGAAAGTGGATTACAAAATATTTTTTGACAAAGCCTTCCTAGATGCATATATATCATGCGAAAGAAATGAGGAGGAAATCTGCAAAAGGAATGCCAAGAGTTACTTCTCCCTTGTCTTTAAGCACTTGAAGAAGGGAGACTTATTCATTGTTATCACCCTTGCCCAGTATTATATAATTAAGGAGGTTATTCGAAATGTGTACCACGAGGATATCATGTTGGAGGTGTTCCCCTTTTTTTTAAAACAGAATAGAAGCGACTTCAAGTACCACCCCTTCGTTTTCGCCTTCTATCGAACTGATAAGGGGGGCAAAAAGTTCCAGGCATATTTTATCAACCCAGAAATGGGGACCAGCAATGCCATTTCGTTGTGGAAGTTACCCAGTGAAATTAACGAGACGAGGGGAAATCTAAATCTTCACATTTTTAAAAAAGGGAAGAGAAGAGTCCTAGATATTTACAATACGAAGCTGAATAGGTGTGACTACAACGTGGTTGTTTATGACTCATGCCTGGAGCGCGCCACTTACAACACGGTCGTTGTTGTTGTCCCGCTTGGCTACGAGTTTCACTCGCTTTACTGCACTACGGAGGGGAACGAGGAGTTGGCTTCCAAGGCACGGACGAGGAGGCTCCTCCTGGTGATGAGGTCGAACTTTTTGGCCCCCTCCTGTCAAGATGGCGGGGTGAGCCAGCGAAGTGAAGTGTGCAGCCAGGCGGACCTTCCTCAGAGTGACAAACGGGAAAGCCCGGCGCCCGTCACTCAAAATAGGGAGAACCCCGACAATGTGCAGCATGGCGGGTACAGTCAGAGGGAGCAGAGTCGAAAAGAGGGCACCGCCGCGGCAAAAGTGAAGGCACATCAAATATACCCGCGCGAGAGCAACCAAGTGAGCGGCAACAGTCCGCTGAGAGGCCACAACCAACTGCACACCGAGCACTCAGTTAACGTCCTGCTGGAGTGCATCAAAAATGAGCTAACAAATATTTTGAACGAGGTGGGCCTTCCCAATTCGGACAACTTCCCCATCATGGTGTTAAACGAGAGCGTAAAGAACTGCAGAGTGATTGCGCAGAGGAAGTCGCACTACGCGTCTGGAATCATCATAAGGGACCTCCTCGTAACGGAGGAGTTTCTCGCCGAAAATTTTAACTCAGACGGGGCGCACGACAGGGGCTTCGAAAGTGGAAAGAGTAAAAAGCAGCGCAGCGGGGAAGGGGGCGGCAGAGAGGGGGACACTCAAGGGAGAGGCCAAAATGGAAGCCAAAATGGAAGCCCACAGGCAAACCAACAGCACAGTCAACACAACGTGAAGGAAACCCTTCGAGCCATCCTGAAGAACCAACAGGAGAGACGCTCCTACTTTGAAAAAAAAAAAATTTACAAAAGGCAAATGATATTTTCATACGACCCGTTAACAGTGCAGTCCGAGCTAATATACACTCTGGAAAGGGAGAAAAAAAAAAAAAGAAAAAAAAAAAAGGACAAAGTGGCGGACAAGATGGTGGACACCCCCCACTTCGAGTACATCGAATCGGCCAGCCAGTATCACATAAGCTTCTGCTGCAGTCTCTTCTTCGTGATAAGGGATAAGCACAGGGAGGCCCCTAACTTTTTCAACATTTGCATTTTGGGCGGAGGTACCAATGTCTTCTCAAACATACTCAAGTCCATTTTTGCCGATTTTAACTTGCACCTGGACATCGTCGAAATTGACGAGACGGTAAAATCTTTTTACTATCTTTTCTGTGATGAGCAGATGGAGGAAAATAAAAAGCACAGGACAAATTATATCATTAACGATTCGCACGATTATGTAAAGAATCATTCTCAGTCTCAATTTTACCATGCCATCTTTGTCGACATTAACAATGCGCAAAACTCCTACGTCAAAATCGATGGCTACAAGGTGTACGTCACTTGTCCGCACATACAATTTTTGGATGAAGAAAATGTGCGCAGTGTTAAGCGTCTTTTGAAGGACTATGGGGTGCTTGTAATTAATGTGTTGACACGGGATGGCACTGTGAGGAAACATATTCGCCTGTTCTTCAAGACGATCTTCGCGTCTGTCATTAGTATCCCCTCTGCAAATAAGGTGAGCGCGGTTTAAGAGGAAGTCACGCAGAGTGATAAAGGTGCATGTTAGCACTCCACCCTGGTATGCACTAGTGCCTATACTTATCTGTGCAGTACCCTGTGAACGTCCCTTTTATATGCAACACACTTCTTTTCTCCCCCCGCAGGAAATTAACGAGGTCTTGATCTGCAGCTCGGAGGATATAACCCCAGAAAGGGTTTCTGCCTTCCAAAGGAGTCTCATCAGAATGGTACGCCCTCCGTGAATCATCGCCATTTGCAGAGCCCCTCTCCGTTTCGGCGAATGGTGGATATATTTTAGCGCGCCTCTCACCACTGACATGAGTCCACACGCACTTAGGAGCACATATGGTTATCCACGCGTACACATTTCTGTACACGCATCTTCCCTACCTCTCCACCTCGCAGATTAGAACAAACTACAATCGGTGGTTCCTAAATTTTGACTTGAAGAACATCCTCAATAATGTTAATGTTTTGTAAAGCTAGGGCAATGTGACGAAAGAGGACACCTGCATGTACATTTATGTGTACTTCTAGCCGCACATACGTATGACAAGGCTTGTTACCCCACATCCCCAACCCTGTTGGAAAAGGAGAAAACAAAGGTTCCCTTTTGTAGCCTTTTTCGCTAGCCACGTGGATTCTGTTTTCTCCCCAAATGGTGGAACACTCCACGGTGACTTTCTAACAGGTTACTATTTTGAGGGCATAAACCAAGGCGGTGGAAAAGGAGGTCCGGTCCCCCCCGTTGGGGGTTTCTTCACATAAGAAGCATTAACTATAGGCGCGATGACGCGATATGCGCGTGTGCAAGTAGGACATGACAAATTTTTAACAGTTACAAACATATGGATAAATTCGCAAAGGGGGGAGTGGTGACACGCGGAAGGCAGTTAGAAGAGTGTTCCACTCAACAATGGGGAGAATCCTCCTCATGTTTCACAAAAGGGGGAAAAGAAAAATTAAGTTATAAAAGCACATGACGCAAAAAAAAGATGAGATGATGTGTGCCAACAAAGTGGTGATAGAACAACTTAAAAAAAGAAGAAGAAGCAGGAGAAGAAGCAGTGTTTCGTGCCCCCACTTCCCTAACGCGCTATACGCCCTACACCCGCTACTGCTCCGTGACGAATATTTTTTTCTTCTCCGGAATGGGCAGCTGGTCTGGGTCCTTCGAGTGCTTGACTCTGTTATTCTCGCGCCTCTTCTTGGCCTCTAGCATCACCTTCTTCTTGTCGGACATGCTCTTGATGAGCGCAGGGACATGGTGATGATCTCTGATGCGTCTAATTTCCTTCAGCGAGGAATATTTCTCCTTCAGTTTATTTCGGTAGTTTATGGCTTGTTTTTCCTTGTACGACAAAACACCAGATGGTTCATGGGCGCAAGATTTCCATATACGAATACACATGTCTGAGCTTCCGGTGTAGACGTATTTGGCGTCTAAGCTAAACTTACAGCAAAGGACATGCTGCATTCTCTTTGTGTGGTACACATCATAGCTCCTTGATTCATCGCTATTAAATAATCTAACTGTCTTGTCATACGAACAAGCAACAAATTTGTCTCCAATGGGAGAGTAATCAACATCCAGCACAGCATTTACAAACCCTTTGTGCACAAGAGTAGCAGTTTTTAAGTACCTCATGTCAAAGGTGTAAAGGTTTGAATCTTCATTGGCCACGACAAACTGTTTTGGGTTCATATTATTCCAACTTAGCGAATTGCATCTGTATTTTAGGAATATTTTCTTGATCGGCGTCTTGGCTCTTATGTCAGCTAGCCCTATAGAGTTATCCGAAAGAGTTAACCCAACTAGGTTTCTCTGTGAGTAATTGAACTTCACGTAATATATGTATTCACTGTTGTAATCGAAACTTGCTATGGCATTGTTTCGGTAGTAGTCCCAGACATCCAGGTGTTGGCTGCCTGATATGATTAGCGGCTCTGAGAAATGCTTATCGATGCTGTTGGGCACGCTTTTGCAAACATAGATCTTTTTTGGCGTCACTTCGTCGGACAGATGGTTCAGGTTCTGCATATTTTGGCTGGCCACAAGCGCGCCCGAGGCGAGAGAGCGCTGAGAAGCGATCAGGCTGTTTGCGGCCAGACTGCTCGCGGCGAAGTTGCTGGCATTCTCCTGGCCGCCCAGCTCGCTCACCCCCCTGCTCTTCTCGATAGCCCACTGCTTAATGTACTTGTCGTCGCCACAACTGAAGAGGAATTTCTCGTCGTGACTGACGCACAGCCCCCTCACGAATCCTTCGTGGGCCTTCACTTTTCTAATTAACACTTTATTCAGCACATTCCAAATGTTAATGAAGCCGTTACAGCTCCCGCTGTACAGATCAGTTAGGGACTTATTTGACACACAGAGTGATCGGACTGAATCGTCGTGTCCATCCAGACACTTAACTAATGGCTTGGCAAAAATTTTATCTATTTTCGTTGCATTTAGGGCCCTCTTATATTCTATTTCCCTCTGGAAGAGGTGAATGTTAGGGTCGACGCTTCTGCTATGTTTGTAGGTGGAGGCCCCCGGGTTGTTCTTGTATTCCTCCGGGTTCCTGTGAAGGATCTTCACTTCCATGTTGGTTTGGTGGAGCGCCTCTTCCGTGCTACCTGTGGATCGGCTGTTGCGGCGGATCAACCGTTGCTGGGGAGTCGACTGCTGCTGGAGGGTCAACCGTTGGTAGCGGCTGAACTCCTTTGCGGGAGACTCCACGGATGCGCTTCCTTTCCCCCGACTGTTCTTCTGAGCAATTTCTTTGTATTCATCCCCTTGGGGCTACTCTTGTCCCTTCTGTTTCTTCTGCGTAGTGATCCAATTATGTGAAAAAAATGGGGCGCATTTCCTCTCTTATAGGTTGTTAGCATATGTTATGCCCAAGTGAACAACCGCAACTGCGATGCGTTTTGGCCTTACTAAGATATGATATGCCTCTGTTTGGTGGCCCTCGGTGCGGTGAAGTTTCTCTTCGGCTGAACTTACGAACTAGTTGGTTGGCGCCACGTCGGCGTTGCGATTTTGCTGCGATATGTACATATAGTAGGTATTATTATGTATATTTTTATTTTATTATATTTTATTTTTTTATTTTTTATTTTTTTTTTTTTTTGCAAAGTACCGCTCACTTTTTTGAAGCGAATTTTTTTTTTTTTTTTCCCCTAAATTCGCTGCCCCAGGTTCTGGAGATCCCAGAGTTGAAATTTCAATTAGTTGAAAGATTCTTCAGAAGGGGGGAGAAAAGCACAAGAGAGGCCAATTGGGCTGCATAACGAAATACGTAACCCCGCAGAGCCACTTGTCGCATCAGCAGGATAGATGAGTTGAATTGCGGGAAGGGCGAGGAAACGTGATGGTCCCCAAATGCCAATTCGCAAGTGAATGCGGCAAGGGGGCTGCTTTGGTTGTCCCTGCAAGACTGAGTCCCCCCTTTCCTGCGTTCTCACAAAAGAGGGGGGAAAGCACCGCATTGACGAAACACCCGCCCCAAAGGAGAGTATACACACATATATGAAGGCCAAGCAAAATGGTAAGTGTCCAACGCTGCTGCGGCTTTGTGTACAGCTGCGCAGTGCGGCAGACACACGTCTTTTTATAGTTGGTGCTCTGGAGAAAAAAACTCGCCTTTCCAGGGTGACCATTTTCTACGTGTAAAAGGATAACGATGGTTCTCCTATCGGATCGTTGTGATGTTACTCCTATGTGGAGGCGAAGCACGCGTCTTCTGTTCGCTCATCTGTTCCCCCATTTGTTGCAGGCGACCCTGGCGGACACATTCCTGCAGGATCTGGAAGACCTGGAGTTTGAGGAAGAAAGTAACTTTGTCGATTTTGGTGCAGAAAAGAAACAAGGTGAAGAAGGCGAAGGTGATAAGATCAGCCAGGTAGAGGAGGCCAAGTTCCAGGAGGGTGACTACGAAGAAATTGTTGATGCGATCGAAGAGTTCCTAAACGAAAAGATAAAAAAAAAGGAAAGGAAAATATCTGAATTGCTCTATGACGAGGACTTCCTCAAAATAATGAACAGCATCAGGAACTATGTCATGGAGGAGGAGAACGGCGAAGGGGGGGAAGGTGCAGAAGGTGGTGAAGCGACTGATGATGCTGAAGCTGGAGAAGGCCGTCGGGCTAAAAAGCGAAGGAGAAAAGGGCAGTCATCTGGAGAAGGCGAGGAGGTGGATGATCTAGAAGAAGATGCGAATGAGGACGCCGCCGCTTCCAACAACGCCGACGAAGTGCTGATGGAAAAGTGCATCGACCTGATAATCCAAATAGACACGGAAATCCTAAACATCCACAAGTACGTAAAGGATATCTACTCGACGAAATTCCCAGAGCTGGACTCCATCGTGTATACCCCCCTGGAGTACATCAGCGTCGTGAGCAAAATAAAAAACGAAAGTGATTTGAAGAATATTGACTTCTCCGACATCTTGCCTAACACCACTGTCATGGCAATCACCGTCGCGTCAAGTATGACCACAGGGATAAACCTATCTGACCAATCGCTAAAGAATTGCCTGTCCTTCTGTAATGAGGCATTAGAATTGAACGAAAACAGACGAATGATTTTGCTATACTTAGAGAGCAAGATGTTTCTGCTTGCCCCCAATTTGACCATGCTACTAGGCAGTGCATTAACAGCTCGCTTAATTAGCTCCGTGGGGTCGTTAAAGAATCTTTCCATGACATCATCTCAGAACCTTATAGTGGTAGGGAGCTCGAAGAAGTCGGTCCTTGGCCTTAGCAATGTGCGGAAGACATTCGGAATAGGGATTTTAAGTACCTCCGAAATTGTACAGAGCGTGCCTGATGCATTTAAAAAAAAAGCCATCACTTTGCTAGCTGGCAAGTGTAGTTTAGCATCTCGAGTGGACTATTTTAAAAAATATTCGGAGGGACAATATGGGTTGCTACTACGAGAAAACTTAATTAATCATTTAATAAAATTACAAGAGCCTCCTCCAATGAAGCAGAAGAAAATCCTCCCCATGCCTGATGAGAAGAGGAAACGAAAAAGAGGAGGCAAGAGACATAGGAAGTTAAAAGAAAAGACGGAGATCACTGAACTGAGGAAGCAGATTAATAGGCTGCCCTTTGGACCCAACTCCAATGAAGACTTCTACACATTCACCGATCAAAATGCAGCTTTGCTGAATTCTAACCTCACCAAATTGAAGTATCAGTCTAAGCAGAAGGTGAATAATGTGGCCAAGAAAAAGAACCTCTCCGTGCACTCCAGTGGAGTAACTGGGGGCTTGTCGTCCTCCCTGATCTTCACCCCCCTGCAGGGCATCGAGCTGTTCAACCCGTCCGTCGTCAACCCGAGGCGGGACCCCGTCGAGAACAAGTACTTCTCTAGCAAGGCCCAATTCCGCAAGGTGTAGCGGAGGAGCCGTGTAACCGTGTAGCGGCATAAGGGGTATGTCGATGGGGGTGCTGCCAGGGTGGTCCACTCCGGAATGGCCCAATTGTGACCTCTTCCCATTTTTCCGCGAAGCGGTATGCCTAACCGTACCACTTCGTCGTCGCCCCGGATATAGGCCCACCCTTTCGGAACTTATCCCCTGCTTAATTGGCGCGCTGATTATTCCCATTTCACCCCATCCTTGAGTTACGAACTTGCACTTTTCCCTTTACATTTGTTTTTCTGTTTCGTTGCCCCGCGCCACTGCGCGCTTTTATTTTAAACTGTAACTTTTCCTTCCCTTGTTTGTAAAAATTCGCCAAAAAAAATAAAGCACACCTCCATGTGAGTGTACCAATGGGGTTGCCCCGAAACACACCAAAGTGAAAAGGTGCCAAGCGGTACGTTTGAAGGAATCGGTTGCCTTCCTGCGAAGGGAAAGCAGTTTGAGGTTATGTAACTGTCGAGGCGGGATGTGGTGAACTATGCACAATTGTAGGCTACTAAAGCGGCCATACTTCCTGTTCATGTTTATTTTCATCTTCCTGTTCATCTTCATGTGTTTTTTTCTTTCTTTTCTTGTTGGGGGAGAGAGGCAACTGGGCTTGATCGCGCCTAGCTGTGCTCTCCACATGTTCCTCCCCGAAGAGTGTCTCCTCTTCCCCGCCCCTGCGCACACACACACACTCTCCATTTTGCCTAAAAATGGCCGCATGGGGCACCTGTTGGATCTACTCCTGACACGAACCGCAGGGGATGATCATCCCCCTGTTAAGCCATTTTAGAGAACGAACTCGATGATAAATTGAACGAAAAGAAAAAAAAAAATAATAATAAAAAATAAAATAAAAAAAAAAAAAAGAAATGGGACTACTCCTTCTGGCCTACCTTCTCGCGTCCTTCATAGACAGCAGAAAAAATGATATCATATACAGTGACTTTATTTCGTTTAACAATTTAAACCACGAGAAGAATCTGCGTTATTATGGGTCGGGCTCGCTGGACAAGTGCTACTGGTGGTACTTCCTGAGCGAAGACTTCTTCGAGATCGTTTATTTGGGGAGGGATGAGCCGACCAAAAGGAGGAAAGGGGGGAAGGTGGAAAAAAGAGGTGTAGAGGTCAGAAATAGCGGTGTAGAGGTCAGAAATAGCGGTGTAGAGGTCGGAAATAGCGGTGTAGAGGTCGGAAATAGCGGTGTAGAGGTCATAAAAAGTGGTAAAGACGCAGAAGGGGAGGGGCCCCTCCCCTCGCGAGACAGAGACCCCCCTGGAAGGAACATCACCATCACGAGCGACGGCATATGCGCAAGCGAAATTCTCATTCTGTTGAATAAGAGAAAGGCAGCGTGCAAATCTGTATCTTCCTTCTTCGTGCGAGTGAACAGCCAAGGGGAGGAGAAGAAGTACATCGCCGTAGAGTACCTTGTCAGTAACCAACTCTACATGATAAGCAGCGACATCGTCACGTATAAAAGACAGAATGAAAGCAGAAACGTGTATGTCATTTCGGACAATGGGAAGAAGATAAGCATATCAGAAAGCAGCCATTTTAATGTATTCTTCGATGATATGTACGTGGAACATGCACATGTTAAAAATTGCAGAGGAGAGCTCGAACTGCAGTTAAGGACAAAGGGAAAGGTAGGCATGACGAGAGTTATCATAATTCTTCTAAACAAATGTAAGCCCCTCTTTTTTGTCGCTACTGTATTTGTGTACGAGCGGCTGTCCTTGCTACCGCACGGGGTGGACTTTCCGGAAGGGGCCCTCGTGCGGCTAGTCCTCAGAACGGAGCATCCCCCAGCAGGGAGAAACAACCATACTGATGACTATGAACGTGGTAATATCAATGATGATGGTAATTCTAGCGATGGTGTCCATTTCTCTTGCACAGCTCTCATAAAGAGGTACATGCTGCGCACGTCTCCCCTGCGTAGAAAGGCAACAATCGCCGCGGTGCTAAGCACCCACGTGGAGGGAAGAAGACGCCCCATAAAGCGCAATGCAACGGACGTATCGTTAATGAACTGCATAAAGAGAAACTACGTGACAAATTTTCGAAATGAGTACCAAATTCAGCAGAGCCGAAGTTACGACATCGTGTCGGACGAAATGGTAAAGATTAAGGAGGGCACAAGTGGGAAGAACGTCCAGATAGTTATCAAAAGTTTGCACAGTGGGCAAGTTTTCTCTTCCCGTGTGAATATCCATAGGGTGACGAAGAGCAAGCTCGCCTGTTTTGGCTACATAGGGAGGGAAGCTCCGAGGAGTGGTACCCCCAATAGAGATGGGCCCGCGTCGTCCCAAAACCGAAAGCGGAACGACACCGTTGAGAGCGAAATTGAGCTAATAAGAAGGCACTTATTTTACAGAGAACAGTACTACTTGGATAATCTACACATTGAATCCTTCTTCCAATCGAATGTACCAGAGGACCAAGGAGAAAAATTTATCCTCCACAGAAAGTACCTCTGCCTTATGCAGCTCTACGGAGAGGGAGACGCCAAGCTGCACGGTCTGTACGGAGGGGGTGAAATCAAATTGACAGTCTCTTCCAAAAGTCAGAAGGCAAACATCCTCCCTTTGCACTTCTTTCCAGAGTATGGGGCTTACTATTTTATGCCGATACGCAGAGGAGGAGAAGTCTCTCTCGAGATGACCTACATGGGGGACTATTTGTCCAGAAAAGACGTGTTCATATCCGCGCCTGTAAAGTGCTACATGAAGGGGGGTGGCCTGTCTATGTCCTCTCTGTTTGTACTCCCCGACGAGACGATTTTTTACCAATGCTCCGGGGGGAGGAGCGCCGCCACCGCTGGGAGGGTGGCGACAAATGGGCACGTCGCAAAGGGGCACACCGCAAATAAACACACAGTGAAGGTATACAACGGGGGTGGCAACCTAGACGTCAGCGTGAACGAAGGGAAGCTGCACATATCAGTAAGGAAATCCCCACGAGGGGAGAGTGGCATCCCCCAGGGGAATAGCAACAGGAGGCGGCACAACAAAGGCACTCCACCCAGTGGGAAAAACAGGTTCGATATAATATGCCTGCTAATTTGTGACGATTCTCATTTAAATAACTGTTTCCTGAGCACAGTATATGTTGGAGACAGAATAATCCACCTTTCCGCTGTGGCCCAGAAGAATATCCTCGAAGTTAACGAAGTTACCAATGTCTACATATTTATGCGGCTGGGTTGGATGACTACGAAGGTGCAGCGTCGGGGTAGAATGACCTTACTGGGAAGAGGCCAAAATGGGAATTTCAAACGGATGGAAGCTTTCCAGGGGGGGGCGCCCATCAGCAGCTGCTTTGACGTAGTACGTCACCACATGAAGATAAAGCATGACAAGGACTACCTCGAGGTGGTAAAAAAACACCCAAGCTTTCTCAAAGTGGAAGATACTTACCGAAAAGCATGCGCATTTTATCAATTAAAAGGGAAAAAGCAGAAGAGAAGGATCCCACTCCACATGGAATATACAAAGGAGAGGAGAGGAGCACTACTACACACACAAATAAGTGTCCAAGTATTTAAAAAAGTTAAAGCCATTTTCTGCCACGATTTTGTGTGTAGTAAATTTATGAAGTTTGGACAAAGGATCAATCTGATTGTGTATGACGGGTTTGTAGTCGGTCCATACAGGGTCACAGTGTCTTCCGAGTCTACTATCCCCCAACTGGTTCTTCAGCGAAATGGATTCCTCAACGAAAGAGACGACGTTCCCACCTCTGCTTCCTTCTTCAGCAAGTTGTTCATTGTGGAGAAGTTTCAGAATGACTTGTACCTAAGCGAGAAGCGCAAGAGGGGGGTCACTCAGCACAGGAATATTTTTACTGGAGAGGTCTTTCACGAAAATTGGAATGAGGGATACTTCCCGGTGTGGAAATTATACAATAGGCGCCTGTTCGAATACGACTTTAGGCCCAAGTGGGGAATATTCCCACTAGGGGGACGCTCAAGGGGGAGTCCTTTCCAAGGGGAAAAAACATGTCATCAGTACGGTTGTCATTACTCTGTCTGTCCCCACTCCAAGAGGTGTCCTCCACCGCTCCCATATGAACCCTTTTTCTCCATCAAGCACTACTACACTATACGGTGCGATGGAGGAAAGAAAAAACACGTCACGTCAAACATCCTGGTAAAAATGCAAACGTCAGGTATTGGGACCCCCGAAATAGTTACGCAGAACCATTTGCCCGTTCATTTCAAGTACCCCTCCTCCATCCAAATGGCAATTTTTAGCAGACATGTCGAGAGGCTCCAAATGGTGGATGGCTCCAAGTTGATGCTTTACAAAGATAATGACTACTATATGAAGGCCTTCCTGGTAGACGAGAATGAAAATGTCATTCTCACCAATGAGCCGTTCCGATACACTTTGGAGGAAGATCCTTCTTCAGGAGACCTTCTCAAAATTTGCTTAAAAGACAAGTCCCGCTACGTGGAAGTAACAAATGAGAAACGAAAAAATGTGATTAGCACGAACAGTAGAATTTTGATCAATTGTAATGACGAAGAGGGGAAAAAGCGGGAGCGTAATGAAAAAGGGGGTAAAAATCGGTACCTTCTCGGTGTACCCCCAAATGGGATGAACCGTTTTAGTGCCTGTTCAGCGGGGGGATTTTTACTCACAGTGGAGTATTCCTCCCATGATGCTGAAGGAGGAAGTATCTCGCACCATTTTCAAAAATTTGTCTCTCTTCACTTTTGCAAAAGAATGAGCATCTCGTATGAAAATCATTTGGTTCTGTTTTTCTCTCCCCACGTTTATTACTCAATGCCCATCTGCACAGCAGAGGACAACGGTGCATGTCCCCTACACGCGCTGAGATACTCCGTTAGGGGGACCAACAAGATCAGCGTGCTGGGTCCCTCCGAGGTGAGCAGATTGCACGGCATTAGTGGGCACCAAGACATGAGCGGACACCACGACATGGATGACCATCGCCAAATGAGCCACCATCGCCTAGTGACCCTCCCACGCGGGGAAAGAACAAAACCAAGTGTGACCATAGCAAATTTGGACAACCCAAAGGGCCCACCTCAGAAATGCACACGCGTGTATGTCAACTCGGCGTTTGAAGCGAAAGGAGTTTTGACAATACAAAACGAGTTGGTCTACGAGACGGACCACTTAGAGATCCATTTCGCTTTTGCAAAATTGACGAGGGTACAGGTGTCCCTGCTGGTTGGAAATGCAGAACGGGGGGACCAAATGGCAGCAGTACCCATGAGAGTCCAGTTTTTTGACAAGTATAACAGAAAGGTCAATATGCTCCCCACGCAGTGGCTGCAGGTAAAGCTTGCCTACGATTATAACAACCGGATTGAGATGACCCCCCTGAATTTGTCCCCAGAGGAGTGGAATGAACAGGTAGGCCACCTCAACACGCCGCAACGTAGCACAACGGAGGAAGCAGCACCAATAACGACGGACATGTTTTTCCAGGTTCGCAGCTCACATGAAGGTAAGTACTACATACAGGTGGAAGTAAAATACAAGTTGGGCAACAAACACATTTCTATTCTGTCAAATATGACGCGTCTGATTGTGTACTCAAGGGGGGTTTCACTTTATGAAGGCGGAAACTCCATTGTGCTACACCCCTATCAGCAAACCGTGGAGTTACCGTTCCAGTTATGCCACCCGCTCATACATAAAGTTGTGTGCCTTTCGAGAGATGAAGAACTAGTTGAGGTGGAAGGAGTGTTCAAGTCAGATGGTGAGAAGTGCACTTATGTCTGCTCCATCAAGTCGAGCAACTCTGTGGGCAACACCGAAATTGATGTCTTCCCTATATTTGAAAGTTACTATGCCGTTTTCAGCCAAGAGGAAGGAAGGACAAATTTTAAAACCATCGAAAAATTGGAAGCAGATTTTCACGACTTGGAAAGCTATTATGATCATTATTTGGAGCATCGCAAGGAACGCAAAGAATGTCACAACATGGCTGCACACACTTGCGAAGAAATCGAAGAGGAGAAAAAATTGCGAAATTTTTTTTTTCTCAAATTTGACGTCACTGTTGATTATGTACGATCCATGAAGCTCTTTGCAGAGGACACCATTCGGTTGGTCCCCAATGAAGAGGTAGAAACCTTCGCCAGTTTTTACAGCGGAGGGGGGGACACGCCCCCGTTCTTGTCGCTGGACTTTCGTCTGCTTTACGAGCGCACAGCCGAGTGGTTCCAGATGGAGTATTTTGTCAACGATGGGAGTGTCCTTCTGAGTGATGGAAGGGGTGCTCCCCAACCGCGTGGCCAGCCGGATGGACCCTCCCCCACAAGACGCACAATCGTCACCGATTTAAGAGTCTCCCCCGATGCGTTCCTATCCATCGAGGCACGCAAGGAAGGCCGCTTCTTTCTCTACGCGAATTTTACCGAATATAGTGCCAGCTCCCATCAGGGCGAGGCCGTCTACTCCCAGATATACAACTTGATTGTCCAGCGACGTGTTCCCCAAGGAAGAGCTCTCCCAGTCGTCCACCTCAGCAGTAGCGGCGTTTATAAATTCGATCGAAGCTTTCATTTTCACTGCTTGGCAATTTTGGCGAACTGGACTTATGAGCAGCGCCTCCCTCTATCAGCAGAAAAAAACGTGCGCACGGAAAGGAAGGCCATCTTGCATAATGCGCATTACTGGAATAGACAGGAAAATATTTACAAAAAAATTCTCATCAGCATATCGGACATTTACACTGTGAAGGTGTATAACTATTACGGCAAATTCATCCCCTTGAATGTTGTCCAGTACCTGTCTATCCATCTGTATAGTATAAATATGGAGAGAGTTCTGCCCCCCCTGAATGGCAAGCTGTATGTACAAGTGTCGCACCCCACCGTGTTAACGGTGAAGACCGTTGGGCCTAATCATATGTTTATAGTGCCGCACAAGATGGGCTGTTCATTCGTCCGTGTCCGATTTGAGTTGCACCCGGGGAGTTATCCTGGAAAACATCCACCAAATGATGCGCAGAATAATCCGAGAGATGATTTGCCCACACAAGGGGGTGGCGAATTCCCCCCAACGGCGAATATGCACTTGTGCGTCACAAAGCGGGTGCCAACAAAATATTTTCAGAAAAGAAAAAATTGCTACTACCTCAAGAGGGTTTACAAACTGCTCGGTCGTTACTCGCACCGGTTTTTCCAGCAGCCTTACATGTGTGTGGATTCTGTCACGAGGAAGGAAGCCAAGTTGGAAAAAGTCAGCGGGGGTGTACTAAGTAAGTCCAATTTTTATCGCGCCTATAAAGATTATCACGCCATTTCCAAGGTAAAAGAATTCGAAGACCTTTTCCAGTCTTCTACGGGGCACCTCTCGATCATTAATGACCACTGCTCGGGGCTGAAGCTGTGAAGTTCGCTCCTCTTCGGGCCCGCTCGTGCGAAATGAACGGGGTTTGACGTGCACCATCCCCGTCGCCCCGAATGGGTTTAGTCATTCAATTCTTCTACTTTCTTTTCTTTTTTTTTATTTATTTCTTTTTTTTTGTTACCGTTTTTTATGTTTCTGCCCCCTCCGCGCGACCCCCATTTTTTCGTAATTTTTCCGTTTCATTTGTCCTTCCGTCCGATGTGCCTCCTCGCAATGAGGGATGGCTATACCCGCTTCGCATAAGAACCCTTTTAATGTCTACTTTGTGAAAAAGTACCATTTGCCGCTTCGTCCAAGTGGTCATTTTCAGCATTAGTCCGTTTGGAGCAATAGCAGGGGGGGACCGAGATAGGGAGAAACATGTGGCGGAGAATGTCCACCGGGTTGGTACTGCAAAGGGCATGTGCACATAGAATCACTCGTCTGGCTATGTGAGGGGCGTAGTTATGTCTTCCCTCCCCCACCCCCTGTTCCTGGTGAGAACCACCACCTTGAGAAGTGTTTCCCAAATGGACGTTCTCTCCGATTGGGAGAGGCGCGCCGAGGAAAGACCCACACATTTTTACGAAAACATCGCGCATAAGTAGGTTGAGTAAGTACTGCGGAAGACTGGTAAGTAGACATGCATGTTGGCAGGCCCATACTCCTGTGGTACTTCTTCCTGGAGGGGTTATATCCCCCCCCCTTGGGCGCCAAACTGGTGCAAAAAGACATCAAAAATGATCATGTCGGAAAAGAGGAGGAAATTATTTTCAACCTGGATCTTCACCGTTGGTTTAATTTGAACCTGAGATACATCCTCATGGAGATCGCTAAAAGGGGAAATAGGATATGTGCAGGAGCATCACCCGTTTTGGATGTGTTTTTCTACGCGTGTAGGTCAAGTCACTTGAGGCATGCCTCCACAGGAGGGTCCTATCTTCACAGATGTAGAATACAACAGGGGGAGTAGTACTTACCTTTTGTTGTGCAAATTCAAGAAGGCAGTAAAACAAATCATGGCCGCGTTGTCTCTGCTGAGGTTGGGCGGCGTCCTGTACACGCTCCAGGGCGCTGCGAGGTGATCGACGAAGTGAGTGTTGAAGTGAACGGCTAAGTAAGCTCTGATGTAGGGGTTGACGTCCCCGTTGACGTGCGAGGAGGAAGGGTCAGTCAGAAGGGTAATCCCCCAAAGGTGCAAAAACCTGTCAACAGATGCGTTAAGACGGAGAGTAACAAACGGCACCGCTCACACTAAAAGCAGGGCAGTGTACTTACCTTCACTTTTGGAGGAAGCGGAATGACCCTCCAGCAGAAAATGTCCCCCCTCCTTCAGTTTGGAGAAGTCCTCAAAATTAAAACAGTTTAAAGCTGACAAGATATCTCGTTCTGTCTTCCTCTTTAAAAGAAGTTTTAAGTAAACATTCCAATACAGAGATGAACTAAACTCAATTTCCCCTTTGATCACCTCCTTGGACACTTTCGAATGTAAAAATTTTTTCTCACTTATTTTTTTTATCCTCTTAGTTAGCCTTTTCTTTAATTTTTTAAATTCATTTAGCTGAACTTGCAATTGACTTCTCTTCATAGCCATGCTTTTCAACTTGCTGATCAGAAAGTTGTTGCACCCAACTCCACCCACTATGAATAATTTTTTTATATTGAAATGCAGCTCTGAGAAGTACATAATTTTGTTAATCTGCCTCAAGAGGTGGTTGAAAATATTTTTCTGACAGAAGTAGGCATATCTGTCTTTTTCCCGCTCGAACGACTCTCCTTTTTTTGACTCCTCGATGATTTTGCGCAGGTGGTTGTACATGCCTGAGAAGCTTCGGTGGGGAGAGTCGACGTGATGAATGGAAGAGGAGAAGCCAAGCGGAGAAGCCAAGCGGAGAAGCCAAGCGGAGAAGTGAAGCACGGAAACGAAGAGAGATATGTCCAGGCGACATACGAACAGCATAGCGCATGGAAACGGCTCAGCACCGCCGCTACCTATGGAATAGCCTTTCTTACGAGAAATCGACTCGGTTGTTCGCAGAGAAGGGAACGGGAAACGGCTGAAATGGATCCGCGCAAGCTTCCCCACTCAGTCGCTCTTCCTTCATTCTTGTAACGAACTCTGCTGATTTCCTTTCAAGGAAGGGACCTCCCCCTAACCCAACGGGCAGTCCCAGCAGCCTGGCAATTTTGTCAATTATGTCTCCAATGGAAATATCAACCGTTTGGGACAACTTGCACAAATTAATGTCGTTTTTTTTGTTCCTCTGAACTTTGTAAATTTCTGTGCTTCCTCCGGAAACTAACGCGCAAATGTATCCATCTGTCAAGTGGCTTCCTTGTGGTGGGTCCCCACTATACTTGGTTTTCTGCGCAGAGGAGGTATTCTTCTGTTCGTGGGCTACATTCTGTGGTGCCTCACTTTCCGAAGTTTGGGGTGCCGCAGTTTCCACACTTAGAGGTGCCACACTGTCCACACTTTGGGTTGTCTCGTTGCCCATCTCCCCCCTCAGCACATAATTGCCGCAGTTTAAAAACTCCTCTTCGCTCAAAAGTGCCTTCTTCTGTTTCGTCATATCGTTGCTATTGAGAATCTGCAGAATGTCTTGCACTTTTTCCATTTTTTCCTTATCCTTTCTTACCTCCTCCGAGATGTGCATGTCGATACTAGGTTCATTTTTCGATGGGTTACTCTTTCCTTCCTTGTACTGGCCACTATTCGTGTATGTATTTTTATCGTTGTAGACGTGGAAAAAGAGAGGCGAAAGGACATGAGCAAAAACGTGATTGATCGGACTTATTTTTATGCTTCCGTTTTTCTTCTTCTTCTCTCCTATGTAGTTTTTGGCGGCGTCCATGCTTTTAGCTATTCCCGGGCAAGCGCTGAAGGCGAAACAGCTTATTCGGTTCTCGTCTGCAGTGGGGTAAAGAGCGGTGGGGGAGCACGCAGAAGTGCACATGTGTATGCGTATATGTAAGTGTACATGCGCAGGTAGGATGCCCCACTGGGGCGATTCTCCTACCAATGTCCTCCAGAGTCTTCTCCACGTAGGGCTTCAAAAACAGCTGGTTGATGGAGCTGATAAAGAAGGGATACACCCCCTCATACTTGTGAACCACCTTAAAATGAGATATGATAACATTCTTAACAATATTCAAGTTGGAGTCAAGGACACAGATGCAAGTATCATCACACGTGTTTTCAATCCCTACGATGTACTTGACTTTTTGGGTATCCTTGAGCTTATTCCTTTCGGTTAAAATTTTGGGGATTCTTTTATACTTGCACACGTGGTAGTATGTGACACTGTCCTTTTGGACGCGTTTATTAATTTTGTGTACTGTCCTTTCCAAGGCGTCACTAAATCGCGCCTTCTTAATTGTTATGTTGTCAATCCTGTATGCATAGTGTACGTATCGAAGCAGACTCAGGATGCAGGCTAAACACGTGGCCAGGTTTTTCGTCGCATTTTTCATTATTGTGAATTCGGGTTACATCTTCGTCAAATTGTTCCTCCCATCTGTATGCTACACCCATGCACATATGCGTTCTGTTTTGATTAAAATAGCGCAGTTGTTTCTTTGGCATTTTTTTCAGTGTTTTTTTTTTTTTCTTTCTTGGGCTGACATTTTTTCTCATTGGAGAACGCGCCACAGGGTTCACTTCGTTGATTTGTTAAAGCTTTTTCGCTTTTCTCCCAAATGGGTATTTTATGTATTTTCAGCAGCGTTTGTCAAGCTTATTTTACTTTTTGTTTTATTCTTTTTCATACCTTTTAGGAGTTATAAATTATGGTCGTATATTTGGGCGATGATTCCGCGCATGGATGAGACTTTCCCACATGGGGAAATTACCCAGTATTATTTTTTTAAAGGTATTTTATTATTACTCTTTTTTTTTATTTATTTATTTATTATTTTTTTTTTTCACGTCCTCAAAATGTTTATCCTAAAGAGGCACCTTTTTCGCAAAATGGAAGTTGCACCCGTTTCGGCACATAGAACACATGTCACTTTGTTGTGTAATCAAAACGGTATGCACAATTTTTGCAACTTTTTTTTTTTTTTTGTGACTACTTTAACAACATGGTTCAAAATAATGCGCCATTTAATATTCTTACCGCGTCAAAAGTTTAAAGCATGTGTGCACTTCTGTGGTTTCGATTGACCTCATTTGAAGATTTTTTTCATTTTTTTTTATATTTATCCCCCCCCAAGTGGGGTGATAGCGATTTAGTTGTTCTCAACCAATTTGTTCATTAAAAGTCTGCTTTTTTAAAGAATAGTAAAATACGAGCGCAGAAATGGCAGATTTTTTTCACGTCTTCTGCATGGTCACATCTGGAGACGTCCCCCGTGATGCGCAGCTTTATTTAAAATGGAGTAACGTCGCGTAGTTTTTTTTTTTGTATCTGACGCCAAGAAAACAGAAAAAGGAAGTCTTATCATTCAATTGGGGCTTCACCATGTTGAGCAACCGTTGAACCGGGGTGGAGACGTGTCTTCATTCTTACAACAAATAAGATGATCGTCGAATTTTCCAAATGGGTGTTTTTTCTTTTTTTTTTCGGACAAATTGGTACGTAGACACGAATAAGCGCACCATATGTTGAAAAGGGCTAGCATGATTACATAGGTATCTGTAACACCGCCTAATTGAATTAGAGATTGGACAGTGGGTAGCAGCTTTCCTTCTTCGATCTAGCTAAAATCTGTGCCCCAGTTTTGCAGCCAATTACAAGATGTACCTTTTAAAGCTACATATATTTTGGCTACTTTTTTTTTTTTCCCCTTTTTTTAAGTTGACGTTTAGGTAAAAAAAGGAAAAAAAAAAAATTGGCTAGCTAATCTGTTGTTTACAAATGTGGAGAATAAAAAAAAAAAAAAACTGTTCCTTTCTAAGTACCACGTCTTGGTTAAGTCTTTTGCACTTTTACCACAATTTTACGTTTTCACTTCATCTCTTAGTTGTTTAAAACATTTGACTTTTTAAAATTTGTTCTGACATTCCTTTGGAGTATCTTTCGGCAAAATTGCCTATATTTTTTGCACATACGTAACATAACCGCGAAATCTTTTTCTTTTTTTTTAAAATGAATCCTCTGAACATTTTGCTGCTATCCATTTTTTTTATCAAGGAAGCCCTCGTGTGCGCCATTTCGACGCATGAAATTTTGAATGACAAAAGAATTGAGTTTAAAAATAATGCCAAACGGATTATCAATGAATCATATTTGGTGGACAAAAATGAGAAGCTGTTGGGTAGTTCGCTCAGGACATACAAATACTACTTGGTAAAAAGTACAACTGAATTTAGGGCTATCTTCATTTTTGACGATTTAAATGTGCACAAAGCGACAGAGCTAGGAATAGGCAATGCTGAACACGAGGCGGACATCTTAAATGTAGAAGGAAACGTGAATAACATTTATCCCCTCGATGAAATAAGCACATTTAATGAGGTGCTATACAGAGAGAGAAAAATGTTCAGCCTGGAAACTGCATATTCCACCACGAGTTATGTGCTAGCCAAATTTGTGTTTGACGTGAACATCGAAGAAGAAGATGAACAGGACATCATGTCTCTTTTGATTGAAACTGAATTGAATATGAAAAAAAAAAAATTGGATGTTGTTACGAAAGAGGATGGTGGTGCACAGGAAGGAGACAACATCGAAAGCAGCGACATGAATTCGAACCACTCGCAATCGGTTGAATTGTACAAGAAGAGACACCCACAAGTGTTTACCCAATTCGTCGGGATGCTGGTAAGTATAGTGTCCATGGTTACATCCATCTCAGGTGCCATTTCAGCTGTCTCGTCAGTTTTTTCGGGCACACCCAGCCCCTCTCCCCCCGAATTTTTGGGAGATGAGGCATGGGCCCTGCCTACATATGAAGAGAGAAAGGTTTCCAAGAGGGAATCTCCCAAGGATAAGAAAGGCAAGAAGGATCCACAGGAGGATCCCCACTACGATGAAGACCACTACGAGGATGACTACTACGATGGTGACTACGATGATGGTGACTACTACGATGGTGACTACGATGATGGTGACTACTACGATGGTGAGTATTACGAGGATGACTACTACGATGACTATGGCGATTACTATCGCTTCTAAAATGAACATGGCATGCATGACGGGGAGCAAACAACTAGGACGGTGGAACAAAGCAGGGGAGAGGGATGCTTAATATGAATGAACACCTCAAATGGGAGTGAGACAAACTGGATTTACGCCCCATGGGGGGAGGGATAATTTTAACCGTGGGGACAGTTCTAGGCAGCGAAAATGTCATGCTGTGTGGCAGTCCCCAACACCAAAGCGTCATAAAATACGTGAGCACACAAAACAACAATTTTATCCAGTGGGCTCTTCAAATGCATTGTGCGAATTTTTTTTACTAGTGTGGAGTAAGGAAGGTTTCGTTTTTTCTTCCTCCATATGTTTCGCTTCTTTTCCACAGGGCTTTTATATCTCCTTATATATATATGTATATTTTTTTTAAGCAAAGTATTAACCTGCGTGAAGTGGACTGGTTGCACTTAAAATTGTGTCTCCATTTCTGAGGGTCAAATTTTTACAACTGCGTCATTTGTTTAAGGGATAAGTGACCCTATTGTGACGTCTCAAAATTACGACGTCGTAATCCGAAATGGTGGAAAAAAGGGAAATGTAAAATTTGCTGAGTATGACCCATGCGCTGAGTTTAGGGGGGGATGGGAATATTTCCCTTCGCATTTGTGAGGGAGATGATCTGCTCAAATGGAGTCACGCAGACAAACGCGTTTTCTTATACAGGTGTGAACATCTGTGTGTGTGCTCCCCTGCTTCCTTTTTACTCCTTTATATTTGGAGATGATTTTTTTTTTCGCACCCCGTCCGCTTTCTTTTAAATTACAAAGAAAAAAAAAAAAAATCTGCATCATTGAACGTTCCTATAAAAAAGGCCTTTTTTCGGAAAGCACTTAATTGTGTCAACGCGGCACGGTGGGGAAAGGCGAAATGAGACATAAAAGGAGTGTTCCTCTTCGCAACGTTTAAAAGAAAAAATAAATAAGGGAAAAAAAAATTACTCACAAGGACAGATATATGCACATTAGACGATTGGCAGTGGAAACATCTTTGCCGCTTCTGTGGAGAGGTAGCAAAAAAATTGCCAATCGTTGCCAGCTGCTTTTTGTGAGGACGTCTATTTGTTGTCAGACGCGAAATGGCAAAATGGAAAAATGGAAAAATGGGAAAATGACAAAATGGCAAAATGGCGTGCTATTTTTCGAAATTCCTCAACTGCGTGGGCCAACCCGTTTAACCCATTTAATCATTGGAACACTCAAAGGATCAAAAAAGCAGAGTTGCTCGTTGTCCCGCTTTTAAGGTGTTACATGCATGATGCGGGCTTGATACGAGCTTCTTGAGTGTTTCTTGAGTGCTTGGTATATGCATGCAGTTAGGCCTTTTTTTTCTCTCTCTCCCTGCCGCCTTTTTCTGAGGTCTTATGAGTAACAAAAATTGGTTGTAGTGAAATTACAGATTAATTCTTCCCTCATTTTTTCAAATAAGAAAAAAATGCATTTAACATTTTTAAGAGGTTAAAATGTGTATGTTGTTTTTTTTTTCCCTTCCATTTTTTATTCATGCTTTTCCACATTGTTTTGTTACGTCATTCAGAATATCGAAAATAGAAGGTTTTAATTTTTGTCTAATTTTTGCCTTCTTTTTCGTGTTCACATGTGTTTTGTTAAATTGTGTTAATTGTTTAAGGGAAAACAGAAGAAAAAGAAAAAAAAAAGAAAAGGAAGAAAGAAAAGGAAGAAAAGAAACCCCCGATTTGTTTCTCCTTTTCCTTTTTAAACAATCTGTTTATCCTTATCTTTAGTAGAGACCACATTTCCGTTTCGTGAAGGAGCGAAGAAAAGTAACCCCCCCCACACCACACACACACATGAGCATGTTGTGCTTGTGCATTCGGCGTCCAGTTGACTGAACATTGAGAGGTGAGAATATTACCTGCGTGGTGGACGATTAAAAAAGGCTCTTAAATTGTCTATATGTGTATGTCTACAGCTCTGTTGCATGCTTCGCCATGTGTTCAGCCCACTAATTGTTGCCTCTCCCTTTGGGGCACCACCCCCACTTCCTTTTTTTTTTTTTTTTTGCAGACCCCTCCACATTCGGCAGCACCCTGTGAACCTGCAATTTTTATCCTCAGGGAGGCGGTATTTGCATCATTATCCTGAAAGGCACTTCGAGAGGAAGAATTCTTATCGTTTCTGTTATGGATGAATAAGCCGTTGAAAGGGAAATCTCAAATAGGAAATAGCTAGCCACACTTTATGTCGCGCTTATAACCACACGATACAGGTGTGGGAAAACATGAGCTAGGCTAACAAACACCCACGTGCAACTGAAAAAAAAAAAAATGAAACCAAGAAATATAAACAACTTGCTAACCATTTGGTGCATCTTATTTTCCATCTGTGAGTACGGCTACGTGATGAGCCTCCGAATCGGGCCTGGCAGAAGCTACAGTCAGAGCCACAATCCTCATCGGCATGGGGAAAACGAAGTGGAATTTGGAAAAAGTGGACACCTAAGAGACTTGAGAAAGCACGGAAACATTTTATGTAACAATATTTCTTCCAATAGAAAAAACGAGGTTTCATTTCTTAGTCAGAAAAAACAACTTGACGATGATGACAATGACGAGTTGGGGGACCTGTACAACGGCGATGATGATGACGCGTCTACCACTACGGGAGGTATGTGCACGCATCCACGCGGCACCGTTGCCTATTCTTCATTTTTTTTAAGTGTCAAAGGGTGAACGGGTTACCGTGTGAATGTGCGGAAAGGCATGGCTACCATGAGGAGCGTCCTCAAGAGGCGCTACCATCCCGCGCAGTTACCCGTGCGGAAAGAAAGAATTAAAAAAAAAGAAAAAAAAAGAAAGAGAAAAGAAGAAAGAGAAAAAAAGAAAGAAAAAAAAAGAAAGAAAAAAAAAAACAACATTTCGGTTTTGACTCCCTTCGATGGAGCGAGATCATAGTGTGCGTCTAGATGCATATGTATGTACGTATGCATGTGCTTATTCACGCGTGCTACCCCCGAAAACACTTGCAGGCGGCTCTGTCAGGAGTGACGACGACGATCTGGAGCCTTCCCACCAAAACGACGAGGAAGACGAAGAAGAGGGCGAGAACCAGCTATCCACCAAGGACGACGCAGAGAGGAGTGGTAAAAAGAGCAAAAAAAATAAATGAGAAAATAAGTGGGTCTGCACGAAACAGCACATGTGCGCAACTACACATGCGTACACATTATGGCGTGCACATATATATGCATGCGGAACTGATACCCCGCAGGGACAGAGAAAGGACTCAAAAAGAAGCTCCAACTGACTACGCAGGAAAAACACATAGAAGATAAAAAAGAAAAGAACCATAGTACCTTTAAGAAGTACCACTTCAATGACGATGATGAAGAAGAGGCCAGAAAAAGATCCTCAAGAAAAAGTAAATCCCTGGACGAGGCCTCCCTAGATAGCGATAATGACGAAAATGGCGATGGTGACAAAGATGATGATAGCGAGGGAGATAAAACGCAATCCAACACTAGAGACGCGATGAAGAAGGAATTGGACGTGTTTCCAGGCTTATACTTTGCAGGCATCGGGTATGACTCCCTCTTTGGAAATCCCTTGGGGGAAGCAGACTCTTTGACGGACCCTGGTTATAGGGGACAGATTATATTGATGAGCTGGGCTCTTAGCAACGAAGGAGTTGCTAACGACTTGTCCACTTTGCAACCCTTGAATGCATGGGTGCGAAAGGAAAACGCCTGCAGTAGAGCAGAATCGGTACGTTTGTCCGCGCCTGTGGAATGTCCAATTTGCTGCGTCTTGGAGAAATGGCCAAGGGAGACCCCACCCGGTAGCGGTGGCGCTGAACCATCCCAGAAGAAGGGCCCGAAAAAGACCACATAAAACAGCCACCCCAACGAATCCATGTACCTTTTCTCACTGTCCCCATTTCAACCCCTCCTTAACAGATAGAAGAATGCAGCAGCGTTGCGGACTACACCAGAAACCTGAGTGTGGAGGCGAGCGTGTCGGGGAGCTACATGGGATTCGGGGCCTTCTCGGCGTCCACCGGGTATAAGAGCTTCCTCCAGGAGACAGCCAAGCGAACCAGCAAGACGTATTTGGTCAAGTCAAACTGCGTGAAGTACACGGTTGGCTTGCCTCCCTACGTGCAATGGTGAGTAGTGGCATCGCCCTTCCCCCCTTATGCATACGCCCAAACGTACGCACAAATATATGCACAACCTTACTCACGTCGGCGCACCAGTAGGCCCTCCTTACCGAGGACCACCACGGACAGTAGATGCGCCGCAAAAAAGAAAAATGCGCCACGCCTGCCCACACAAAAGCGTTATATTTTTACTGACACAATGAGCAAACTTCCTTTTTTCATTTTCCAGGAAAGTAACCACCGCCTTCAAAAACGCAGTGGAGGGACTCCCATCCCATTTCAGAGGCCTAGAAGAAGACAGCGAATGCCCGTCGAATGTCTACGAGCAGAAGAAAACGTCCCAGGAGTGCGAAGATGTGCGCACGTGGATTACATTCTTCAGCACGTATGGCACTCATGTCATTATGGAAGCACAGCTGGGTACTCGAACGAGGGAGAGAAGCCGCGTTATCGGTTTAGAGGAGTAGCGGTCAGATCCAAGGGCGAAAGAAAAAGGAGGAAAAAGAGGGAGAAAAAAGAAAAAGGCTTCCCCCCCTTCCACCTGCACATACGTGCTTACACACATGTTGAAGACACTTCGATAACTTCGCAGACGTCGCACACTTCTGACAACCCGCATATGTTTCCGCGCCCCCACTTCCTTCCCCCCAACCGCAGGTGGCAAAATCACAAAAATCATCCGCGTGGAAAAGTCCTCGATGAACAAAATGCAACAGGACGGAGTCAGCGTGAAGGCGGCAATACAGGCACAGTTTGGCTTTGCCAGCGTAGGCGGGTCCACAAGCGTCAGTTCTGATAACTCGTCCAAAAAGAACGAAGAGAGTTACCAGATGAGGGAAGAGCTAGTTGTGATTGGAGGAAACCCAATCAAGGATGTAACGAAGGAAGAGAATTTATACGAATGGTCCAAAACTGTATCCACCCATCCGATGCCAATAAACATAAAGCTGGTAGCGATTTCGGCCCTGTTCGAGACGGAAGATTTGAAGAACTCCTACGAGCAAGCTCTCCTTTACTACACCAGGCTGTATGGCTTTTCCCCCCACGACACCATGCAGAAGGACGAGAAGGACATAGTTAAGATTGTAAGTGATCATGAGCGGGGGCGGCACACTCGTAGGAGAGTGATACGTGTGAGAATGCGTGAGAGAGAAAATAAAAACACATCCTGCACATCTGTTCTTCTTTTTCTTCTTCTTCTCCTCCCTACACCACAGCTGACCGGTTCGACAACAGTCACCAACAGTGGCCCACCCCCCATAAGCGCAGAATGCCCACACGGCATGGTGGTCTTATTTGGCTTTGCAACCAAGCAGAATTTCTGGGACAATACGAACAAATTGAAGGGATACGATATAGAGATCTGTGAATCTGGCTTGAGTAGCTGCACGTCGAAACAGGGAAGTACAAACAAGTATGATGTGGCCTACATATATATCGAATGTGGCCTCCAAGCTTTACCATTCACAGATCAGGTGGTCAGCGTAAGTAGCACGACTTACAACGAATTGAAATGTCCAAATGGTTACTCTCTTTTGTTTGGATTTGGAATGGCTACTTCTTCTGGCAGGCACCAATCAGCTCTCCACACGTATTTCACGGCCTGCCGACCAGGTCAGCATACACCCCACAAGGGGTGGGACACACATACATGTGCATCTGCGCACGCTATTCAATCCGCAGGGGATGTTGTCTCACACTAGTGCAAACAGTACCACCGCACTGACGTAAACATATATGTTTTTTCTTTTTTTTTTTTTTCCTCCCCCTTGTTCCCACCCTCACAGGCATGAAAAGCTGCTCCCTAAACATGAACAATAGCGATGACAAGAGCTACTTATATCTATTCTGTGTAGACGCAACCATATGGACGGGATTGAATGACCTGTCGCTGATCGCCAAGGATGATTTACACACCGCTGTTAACAAGTACAAGCAATTTAATGATGGTCAATTAGTCGTTACATGTCCTTCAGAAGGAACCATATTGACGGGATTTTATGGTGAGACGCATACCTCCAGTCCTTATGTGTCTGCCCCCTTTGGCAGATGTGACAAGAGTTTAAAGGCCTGTTCAGTGCATGGGTGCGGCCAGGGAATCGGCATTCACAACTACAGGACGGTGTTCGTCGTGGCGTTGTGCAAGAATAACTAGTGGTACGCACCTGTGTTGTATTTTACTTTTTTTTTTTTTTGTTTTGTTTTTTTTCTCTCCTTTTGTTTGTTTTTTAAGAGGGGTTTCTCCCCCGCCATGTTAGTGTGGCTTTGCGTTGCGGTGATTTTTTCGCGACGACAACGTCTCGTGACGAGAACCTTTCGTGACAACTTTCCTCTATGATGAAGTTTTTTTAAAAAATATGCAAAAGGTTAAAGCGTTTTTCGTATTGGACACTTGGAGTGACCTACTTGGATGGTCCCTTTCTGGCCATTCCGGTATGCATATACCTCGCACATACACAATGCGGGGTTCATGTAGTGAAAGAATTTCACAAAGTTAGTTTGTTCATCGGGTGAAGGGTGTTTTTTTCTCTCTTCCAAAGGGGGTATTATCCCCCTCTCACGAATTGTCCACGAAGACGCTGTACGAGTAGACATTCCTGGACTCGTTCTTGCACTGGTCGACCGCCTTGATCTCGTCCAGAAGCCACGTCCCCGCCATGGAGCCCTTGGGCAGTAAGATCGTCTCCTTCATCCTCTTGTATTCCCTTCCTTGAGGCAGCAAAGTCCTGTCCACGTGGCTCGAGTGGATTCCCCCGTGAGGATCTCTCAGATGTAAGGTAATATAGTACACCCCGGAGAGATCGTCGTACACGTCAAACTCAACCGTCACTTCCGTCTCTCCGTCGTGCTGATCATTAGCTGGCCTGCTCGTAACCCTAACCCGAGTGATAGTGGGCTCAGTTGTATCCCTGGGACCGGAGCTTTGCAATTCGGCATAGTATCTGTTCGACGTCACATTGAGAATGTTCTGATTCCCCGCATCATCTTCTACTGCCAGTTGGCGGAAGTAGTACCTACTTCCTACGCAGTAGTGCGGGATATGCACTGGATCCATCACTTGAAAGCATTTCAAGTTAGAAACATTCATGGTGGTGTGCGCTTTGCACGCATCTATATTGACTTCTCGAAACCCACTCGTCGATATGTCCCTCACGAAGTAGTCGTTCCTTATTGCATTCATATCAAACTGGGAGTCGTATGACTGGTATGTGTGGTTTCCAAAGGCATAGCTATCACTCTCCATGGAGGCGAAGTTTGCGAACAATCCGCCATGGACCTTGAGTCCACTGTTTTCCAAAACGAGCATATCCAATCGGAGAAGAGAATCTTCGGAGCCCTGCCCATTGTATGGGTAAATCTGAACAGAGTCCAGCAGGGGGATAGGCTGATCAACATCTTCATTCTCATTATTCACATACAAGTAGAGGAGGAAGGAGCCCAGCCCTGTGTAGCGTTTTATGTCGTTCTCTCCAGTGAAAGTCACAGACTCAGCCACCCATTTGCCCTTGCTCTCTGTGGAGTTAAATTCGAACTGAGCGATCAACACATGGCTGCACTCGGAGTTGTCCTCCGTGTGGAAGAAGACATCTTTGTATGTTTGCTGCTGCGAGAAAAATCTTGCATGGGCGTACTTAGCGCACCCTTTATTTCCCGTATAGGATAGCAAATTCAGATGTATTTTCACCATTTTACTCTCCGAGGGACCTCCTTTGACCTCTACGTGTATTTTGTTCACCTTCCCTGGGTAATAAAAGTTCTGATTCCCCAAGTTGATAACTTCAAATGTGTGCCTACCAGAAGTAACGTAAAAGCTACCACTAAAGAGTTTCTCCTTAATCCAGTCATACTTATTAATACTCCTCGAGTTTAACAAGTTTGGGTTCAGAACAAACGAAGCTATAGACTCTGCGAAATCTTCTCCGGGTGTTTTATCATGCGCGTAAGCAGAAACGAATCCGACTTCGTCCTTAGTGGCCCACTTACTAGGAGACATCGGCTCTGGGTACCACTGGCCTTTGACTTCCCATTCTTTTCTCAATTCAGCGGACAGCATGTTGACGAAGAGAAAGTGCCCTACTTCGTGGAGCGTCAAGTGAGAAATGTCTCTATAATTTACAAAGGCCGATTCCATAAATTCGATGAATGAATTTCTGGAAGGACCTGCAGGGAAGGCAACTGCGGGGGCTGTTGGGTAGACTGGGTGTTTCACTCCATTTTTCCTTCTCGCCAAATAGCTCAACCCCTTAATTTTTTGCAATCCCGCTGGATATTCATCCCATGAGGTAGCCAATTCGACTATCTCTTCCACGTTCTGACTCCATGGTTGGTAATCCTGCGCTGAATACCCTGTGACGTTTTCCACTTCGGTAGGGTTTTTCACAGGGTTTAACAATCGAACTCCATGCTTTTCCTTAAAGTAGCTAACGAATAGATCATAATCATCTGCAAGGATAGCTCGGATCAGCACCTTCTCCAACCTCCTCGAGTAGTATTTCCCATTGAGGCCCTCTGTATGCACCTGCTTCTTAGAATATTCAAACGCGCTGCCAGACACACGTACCGTCTTGGAGTAGGCCTCATCATTCTCTTTATATGTCTCTGTCTGCATGTCAAATGCTCCCAAATCCTCGTGCACCAGAATCCATCGTTGATGCTTCCTCTGACCAGCTCTCGCCTCCTTATCGTAGGTCACTAACTTCACACATGAGGGAAAAGCAGACAACACGCTTAGCAACCTGTCTGAGTACTCAGAACCCCAATACCCTACCAACTCGATTCCGTAAAATGTCTTCAACAAAGCTGCAGATCCTGATGAGTCTAACTTCAATTCGTTTGAGATATCGTGTCCATGTGTCCATCCAGCTTCATCGCTATGAATCACGTTTATGTTTTCCAATGGGATGGGAGCGCTTGACTGAAGTTCCCACTGGTATATGAACAAGTTGGAGACGTTCGGATAAAGATCTATCTCAATAGTGTCCCTATAATCTGAGTTCACAAACTTGCACTTGGTACAAGGCAAATTCACCTTAATAGCACTAGGCGTTAAGTAGGTAGGTCCAAAGCTACGTAAGTAGTATCTTCCTCCATGAACAATAAATTTGAAGTGAGGATTCTCAGACGTCAGATCTATTACTTGCAAAGAGTCGAAGTTATTTGAGTACTGAGCTCCTAGTGCTATCGATATTGGGTGCCCATTTGCGATCCCTTTGACATGCCCCGTAATTTCATACTTGATGTCCACATTACTTAGGGAGGAGTGTACCCTCTCTCTATCATGCATTAAATTTGTTAACGTGGCTGACGTCTGCATAAAAATGGCTTTCCCAAAGGGGCTCTCATCGTCTGTAATTAACTCCTGTTCTTTGCTTTGGCTTAGTCGGCTTCCTCTGTACTTGAGAGCGCCGCTTCTCTCAGCCGCCGCGTCTTCTGAAAATCTCAAATGTTTGACGTTGTTATCTCCGCCAAAGTTCCTTATGGTGTACGTCCTGGTGACGCTTAGAATGCCAACCCACAGGGCGAACAACGCGAACGAGTTGAATTGCCTCATGATGGCAGCTCAAGGGGGTGGCGAAGCGGGGAACAAGCGGAGAAGAAGCAGGGAAGACAAAATGAAGGAGAAGTACTAAGGCACACTCTTTACTCCTCCTTTGACTTACAGAAGAGATGGCTCCCTTTTAAAAAAAAAAATTAACACGCACATGCGCGGAGGAAGACACACGAATTTACGAGCAGACAAGGAATCTTGGCATTCGTATTTGGTGCGCGGTGGAAAAATTCCACATGAAAAAGGGAGTAGACGCAAAAAAAGGAAGAATTACACGCAGGGGGGCATAGGCGGCGCGACCGACAAACACAACGGGACAAAACTTACGTACTAGCAAAATAACGTCACATGAGAGGGGGTTGCGCGCGTGTGTTATAGGCTGGGTTCTACATTCAAAAAAGGGGAAGACAGACCGGAAAATTCGGAAAATGCGGAAAAAGTGTCGAAAACGGCGATCAAGGGGGGATGCAACATAAGGTATGGAGGACGGCACATTTACGTTTAAGTAGGCGCATACAAGAGAAAGGGATAAAAAATAGAATAAAATGGCGGAAAAAATTAATAATCGAGATTGTTCGATATGCAAAACGGCGAGTAACAAAAGGTAAGTCTTCGTTTGTTTGGCTTTAAGGTAGTTTTATACTAGCTTTAACTTGGTTGTTGGCTTTTTGGGTGGTTTTTGCTTAATTAGTTTTTTAAAACTATATTTATTTGTTTTGTTTTAAAATTATTTTAAAGTATTTTTTAATTATTTTAAATTATTTTTTAATTATTTTTTACGAACTCGTTTAGCGGTTTGTTTGTCTTTTTACCTTCTTAAATTAGACACAGTTACAGGAAAAAAGAAAGAAAATATATATATATACACATGTATATGTGGAAACACGTTCCATAAAAAGGATTTTCCAAAGGATTAAAAAGGACGGCGAGTTCACACACGAACACGGCGGATGGTGAGTTGTGGACGTACAGGAGAAGCTGCTCCTTATTCGAGCTCTCATGCATGTTTAATTAAGCTCAGCATGATCCTGAGTGGTTTGGTGAGGTGTGAATCGGCGTGGTGAAGTATGAAGTTGCGTGATGCGGTATCAAGCGGAGTGGTAAAAGATGAAGCGACGGCGTAAGATGCGCTTGTTTTCGCGTTGCTTCCGCCCTTTTGAGTTGTCTCAACAGAGTTGTAACAAGTATAAAAACGCATGCTGCATCTGCATGAGTACACAATATGGTTGCAACGTGCATGGCAATTACTTGTTCCCATATGCAATACGTATGGTGTTAATGGGGAAAAAATAAAATAAATGGCATCATATTTCGAAAAAAAAATATATATTTAACATTTTAAAGTGTTTATCACGAAATAGCTTTTTTTTTTTTTTTTGCATG